AACCCCTCCTTGGGTTTCCAAGGCTGTATCACAATGGAAGTAGATTGCCCAATCCTCCTGAGGAATGGCTGGTGGGTTCGAACCACCAGACTTCTAGTTAGCAGTCAAATGCCTTAGGCACTATGCCACCAGAGCTCCTTGCTTGGTAAAATAGAGGGTCAGTGAAAGAGAGGAAGACCCTTGATGTGATGGATAAACACAGTGGCTGCGACAATGGGCTCAAGCACAGCAACAATTGTGAGGATGGTGCAGGACCAGACAGCGTTTCGTTCTGTTGTACACACTTAACAATGGCATCTAACAACAACAACACACTAGTCTCTTTCTCAGTCTGCTTTGCTAGTAATCCAAACTGTGACAGGCAATTAGGTAATTTTTGACTATTAAAACACTTTTTTGCCACACTTGCTGAATTGATCAAAATATCTAAGTCTTCAAAGAAAAATTCTGAAAATAGAGGCATTCTGCAAATATGAATTTCAATTCAAGTCACTTTTTCACACATGGGTAAAACTTTCATAATTCTGTGGGAAAACAGATTTAAAAACTAAACACTGAAGTTTAGGGTGGGAAAAACCAGATACACTGTTATATAAACTGTTGGAGAACTTTAGAGCATTGCAAACAGGTGCTCAATAAATAATTGTTGAGCTGAATAAAGCCAACTTTTGATTGACTTATTTGGTCTTGATAGCTAGAGAAAGGCTAGATTATTTCTCTTTCTTTGCCTTTCCTTTTGATTCTTCTGGTTCATCTTTCCTTTTTCTATTTCTCTGCCGTCTTTCTTCACTTTCTTTATCATTCTCCTTTTTAGGCTCTTTTTCTTTTATTTTTCACGACTCCAATCCCTAACCGTGTTCCCAAGCTTCTCTGCCACAATTGCCCATGTTTCACATCAGAGGAGTAGAATTAGAAAAATACTGATCAGAAGGAGTCAGGATTGGTGATTCAACTTTGCCAAAAGGGTTAACTTATCAGTTAGGTTTAGAGAGGTGTGTCAGTTTGGCTAGGTTCTGATGCCTGTTTGGCTAAATACTAGTCAGTTGTGGTTATGAGGTTGTTGTTGTTGCTTGTTGTTATGTGCCACAGAGCCAGCTCCGACTCATAGCAACCCCTCCTTGGGAAATAGCTTGCCCAACCTACCTTCTGAGGAGTGGCTGGTGGGTTTGAACCACCAGCCTTCTGGTTAGCAGTCAAGTGCCTTAGGCACTATGCTACCACAGCTCCTACATGTAATTAAATCAGTTGGCCTTAAGTAAAACAGATTACCTTCTGTAATGTGGGTGGGCCTTAAGCAATCAGCTGGAGGCCTTAAGAGCAAAAAGGGAGTTTCCCTAGGGTGTTGCTGAAGGGGCAGGGAGGTGACGTCTTCCAACCTCCTCTAACTATATAGGAGGAAGACAGAATCACCATCAGCAGGCCAAGGCCTGTTCTTTTTTTTTTTTTTTTAAATTGTGATTTGGGTGAAGATTTACAGAGCAAATTCACTCTTGATACAGCAG